GTGTGGCTGGGAGCAGTGATTTCAGTAATATTTATAGAGAAACATTAAAAATGCAAAACTCCATTACATAACATGTCTGGGGGGGCGCCCATGAGATCATGGACCATATACGGTTCCCTTCATATTTGTTCAGTGATGTCATATGGGAGACCCCGCCCCCTTGTATATTTGGGCTTTCACCTGTCAGTCAGTGGGAGGGAATAGATAGGACCAGACGTGGATCGGCAAGCAGAGTTTCCATCTTTTTCCCAGTTGGCCGGCATTGGGCATCACGACTGAAGTGGATCTACATGACGGGACCATGTGATCGATGATGAATGTACATCAATGGGACTTCTGTTGATGAGTAAAGGACTTGTCAATCCCTGTGTACATGTTTTCTTTGTGAATGAGTACTATGTACAGCCACCAGGCCCAGGTTGTGGGGAAGAAGCCCTTGTCCTCATCAACATGGGAAAGGGTGCTTTGCCAGGAGATCCCCCCTTGACCAGGTACCCCTCCATGTTTAGGTCATGTGGTCAGGTATGGTTCAGAGGAGGGGACCCCCCCTTTCATTGCCTGCCTCAGACTGCATGTTTGGTAAAGTGTTTGGTATGCATTTTTGGGGGACCCCACACTTTTGTTTTATTTTAGCCGGGGGGGTTCAACCTTAAAAACCCTACTAGACATGAAGGGCCTGATATGAATTGCACCATTTTTTCTATCCCATACTTACACGGCCATGTAAGCAAATATCGCCATTCGTGTCATTGGTTGTCAAGGGCTTGGCTGTACCAACTCCTGACCACAGAAGAAATCAGCCATAACCCCACTACCATTTTTTTTCCAGGAAATGGCCGGATTTCACATGAAAGTGGTCCTAGCGGCTCTAGCGGCGATCCCCTCCCGCCACTCGAAGGTGTTTCTCGGGCTTACTGTTAACGCCGTAAAAAAACAGACCACCCAAAAGATGGGCAAAAAGTAGATACTATGGTGACAGATATCATAGATGCTGAAAAATCCGTCCTTAATAGCAGGTACGGGAAAACATGGATTTGTAGGACTTTGTGTTTGAGGGAGACTTCAGTGTGGATTTACACATCTTACACCAAGAATTCAATTCGGAAACATGAATAGACAAAACAGACGGAACATTCATGATGGAATTCAAATCTCCACGTCCTATAAGAGTGGCATACCGAAGCAATATGCTGCCTAATGGTGTCACAAATACAGATGAAGGGGGCCCTCATATAGGAGTCTGGGGTCCCATAGGGCCCAGAAACATCAATATGCATTGAAATGGATCATAAGTCATAAATACGCCGAGAATTGCACCCAACGATTTCCAATATGAACCAGGCCCTATGTTAGTCAGTGAGGCATATCTACAAACAGATGATGGAAGAAGGATTCAGTCCCATCCCATTGGTTAATAGGCCCCAGAAAAGGGACAAATGTCCCCGGAGTTCCTGTTGCAGGTGTTGGAACCCACAATTGGCATCTATAAAGCTGAAGTAGGACACATGAAATGGCATGGAGACAGAGGCATAGATGCAGCAATAGAGTCCATAGGAAATAATATGGTGTGGGTGGCGTAGGTCCAGAATTATAGGGAACACTATTGGCACCGGACCTTTATAACTCCAAACCTCTTCTGGTCCTCGGGACCTATGTTGTGAGGGAGTATGAAGGGTCCCAGTGTCTCCAATCACAGCTCATCTATATCATGTGATTAACTGTGGCTAACCACATGCCGCCCAGCCACCGCCTATAAACGGCGGCAGGGCGGCGCTCGTAGGCAAAATGACGTTTTAAAACGAACCTCCGCAAAACAGGTAGGGGGCACGCGTGAGGCGCGTGCCCGCCCTGCCTGTCCCGCGGGTGTCCGCAGCGGGTGTCAGCCGCCGGGTCACGGCCGGTTTTTACCAGCCATTTTCCCGCGATGAGCTGTTATCACTGACACAGAGCAGAGCTGCATTGTTTACACACAACCTGCTCTGTGACAGTTCCCCGACAAGCTGAAGAGAGAGAGAAGAATTTCTCTCCCTCGATCAGCTCCCCCCTCCCTCCCCCCGTCCAGCACACACCCCCCCCGCCCCCTAGTAAAAACACTCCCCTTACACAGTAAACTCTAAATATGTTAACCCCTTCCTCCCCAGTGACATTAGTACAGTGTCAGTGGGGTTTTTTTTTCACTGATCACTGTATTGGTGTCACTGGGGATGTCAGTGACCCCAAGTCAGTTCCCCCCCCAGCGTCAAAATGTCCGCCACAGTCCCGCAGTCCCCACCATAAGTCGCTGATCGCCGCCATAAGTCCCTGATCGCCGCAATATGTCGCTGATCACCGCCATTATTAGTATAAAAAAAATTTAAAATCCCAGTATCTTTCCCGCCATTTGTAAACGCTATAACTTTCACGTAAACCAATTAATTGACACGTATTGGGGTTTTTTTCAGCAAAGACATGTCGCAGAATGCATCTTGGCAGAAATTTATGACTAAATTTGATTTTTGCATTTTATTTTACTGGACATGTTTTATAGCAAAAAGTCCAAAATATTGTTTTTTTTTTCCTCAAAATTCATTTATGTACCATATTGCATGACCGCGCAATTGTCCGTTAAACTAGCGCAGCGCTGTATAGCAGAAAAATGGTGTAAATTGCAGTATCTATCCCATAGTTTGTAGACGCTATAACTTCCACACAAAGCAATCAATATACACTTATTGGGATTTTTTTTTACCAAAAACATGGAGCAGAATACATTTTGGCCTAAATTTATAACCAACTTTGAATTTACTATATATTTTTTATAGCTGAAAAGTAAAAAATATTATTTTTCTTCAAAATTTTTGGGTTTTTTTTGTTTATAGCGTGAAAAATAAAAAGCGCACAGATGATCAAATTACACCGAAAAAAAGCTCTATTTGTGTGAAAAAAAGGACATAAATTTTGTTTGGGTGTAGCATTGCATGACCGCGCAATTATCAGTTGAATTAGTGCAGCGCCGAGTAGCAAAAAGAGGCGTGGTCATTAAGGGGGGTAAATCCTCAGGAGGGGGAGGGGTTAATCACAGCTACTCACAACAAAAACATCTGAATGAATCAATTTAATTCAGTTAAATTCTTGCTTATAGCAAAGAAATTATTTGCTATAAGCAATCATAATCTGTAAAAAAAAAAAAAAAACTGATCACTTCCCCAGAGTAGTACATTGATACTGTGGTAACACTTTACTACTCTGGTCACAGGGTATTATGGGAAAAAATGTAATAAAAAATAAAGAAAATTGAATTTTTTTTTGTACTGTCACCATTCAGTGTTCCTGATCTCCACCACACCAGTTATATGATGACGCTGTACTGCACTGGTGACAGGATGTAAAAAAAAAGAATTGCAAAAAAAAAGTAATTTCTTAATTTTCCAAAAAATTATAACAAACAAATTACAACTTCAAAAAAATCACCATGCCTCTTACTAAATACCTCGGATTGTCTACTTTGCAAAAAGGGGTACCGTCCTGACATTTGGGGGATTTGTACTGTCCTTACATTGGGGGGATATCTGTACTGTCCTGACATTTGGGGGGATTTGTACTGTCCTGACATTTGGGGGGATTTGTACTGTCCATGACATTTGGGGGGATTTGTACTATCCTGATATTTGGGGGGTATGGTACCGTCCTGACATTTGGGGGATATCTGTACAGTCCTGACATTTGGGGGGATTTGTACTGTCCTGACATTTGGGGGGATTTGTACTGTCCTGACATTTGGGGGGATTTGTACTGTCCTGACATTTGGGGGGATTTGTACTGTCCTGACTTTTTGGGGGGGATTTGTACTATCCTGACATTTGGGGGGATTTGTAACATCCTGACATTTGGGGGGATACCATCCTGACATTTGGGGGATTTGTACTATCCTGACATTTGGGGGGGGATTTGTACTATCCTGACATTTGGGGGGATTTGTACTATCCTGACATTTGGGGGGATTTGTACTGTCCTGACATTTGGGGGGATTTGTACCGTCCTGACATTGGGGGGGTAGGGATTTGTACTGTCCTGACATTTGGGGGGATTTGTACCGTCCTGACATTTGGGGGGATTTGTACTGTCCTGACATTTGGGGGGATTTGTACCGTCCTGACATTTGGGGGGATTTGTACTGTCCTGACATTTGGAGGGGATTTGTACCGTCCTGACATTTGGGGGGATTTGTACAGTCCTGACATTTGGGGGGATTTGTACCGTCCTGACATTTGGGGGGATTTGTACTGTCCTGACATTTTGGGGGATTTGTACTGTCCTGACATTTGGGACATTTGGGGGATTTGTACTGTCCTGACATTTGGGGGGATTTGTACTGTCCTGACATTTGGGGGGGATTTGTACTGTCCTGACATTTGGGGGGGATTTGTACTGTCCTGACATTTGGGGGGATTTGTACCGTCCTGACATTTGGGGGGATTTATACGTCCTGACATTTGGGGGGATTTGTACCGTCCTGACATTTGGGGGGGATTTGTACTGTCCTGACATTTGGGGGGATTTGTACCGTCCTGACATTTGGGGGGGATTTGTACTGTCCTGACATTTGGGGGGATTTGTAATCCGTCCTGACATTTGGGGGGATTTGTACTGTCCTGACATTTGGGGGATTTGTTACTGTCCTGACATTTGGGGGGGATTTGTACTGTCCTGACATTTGGGGGGATTTGTACAGTCCTGACATTTGGGGGGGATTTGTACCGTCCTGACATTTGGGGGGATTTGTACCTGTCCTGACATTTGGGGGGGTTTTGTACTGTCCTGACATTTGGGGGGATTTGTACTGTCCTGACATTTGGGGGGATTTGTACTGTCCTGACATTTGGGGGGGGGATTTGTACTGTCCCCCATCCTGACATTTGGGGGGATTTGTACTGTCCTGACATTTGGGGGGATTTGTACTGTCTGACATTTGACATTTGGGGGGATTTGTACTGTCCTGACATTTGGGGGGATTCTGTACTGTCCTGACATTTGGGGGGATTTGTACCGTCCTGACATTTGGGGGGATTTGTACCGTCCTGACATTTGGGGGGATTTGTACCGTCCTGACATTTGGGGGGATTTGTACCGTCCTGACATTTGGGGGGATATTGTACTGTCCTGACATTTGGGGGGAATTGTACCGTCCTGACATTTGGGGGGATTTGTACTGTCCTGACATTTGGGGGGGGGATTTGTACCGTCCTGACATTTGGGGGGATTTGTACCGTCCTGACATTTGGGGGGGGGGATTTGTACCATCCTGACATTTGGGGGGATTGTACCGTCCTGACATTTGGGGGGATTTGTACCGTCCTGACATTTGGGGGGATTTGTACTGTCCTGACATTTGGGGGGGATTTTGTACTGTCCTGACATTTGAGGGGGATTTGTACTGTCCTGACATTTGGGGGGGATTTGTACTGTCCTGACATTTGGGGGGGATTTGTACTGTCCTGACATTTGAGGGGGATTTGTACTGTCCTGACATTTGAGGGGGGATTTGTACTGTCCTGACAATGTTAAGGGTCTCAAGTAGAAGGCCGTCGATGTACATTAGGGATGATTAATGTTTAAAATATATATCCCATAGTTTGTAGACGCTATAACTTTCACACAAACCAATCAATATACACTTAGGGGGAATATGTTGGAGGAATATGTTGGAGGAATTGGGGGAATATGTTGGAGGAATAGGGGAATATGTTGGGGGAATATGTTGGAGGGATAGGGGGAATATGTTGGAGGAATAGGGGGAATATGATGGAGGAAATAGGGGGGAATATGATGGAGGAATATGTTGGAGGAATAGGGGAAATAATGGAGGAATATGATGGAGGAATAGGGGGAATATGATGGAGGAATAGGGGGTTATATATGATGGGGGAATATGATGGAGGAATAGGGGGAATATGATGGGGGGAATATGATGGAGGAATATGATGGAGGAATAGGGGAATATGATGGAGGAATAGGGGGAATATGTGGGAGGAATAGGGGAATATCATGGAGGAATAGGGGGAATATGTTGGAGGAAATAGGGGGGAATATAATTGGGGTGATAGGGGGAAATGATGGAGGAATAGGGGGAATATGTTGGAGGAATGGGGGAATATGATGGAGGAATATGATGGAGGAATAGGGGGGGGAATATGATGGAGGAATAGGGGGAATATGATGGAGGAATATGGATTAATGGAGGAATAGGGGGAATATGAAGGGAGGAATAGGGGGAATATGAAGGGGGGAATATGATGGGGGAATATAGATGAGGGTGGTATGGAATAGGGGAAAAATGATGGAGAAGTAATTAGGGGGAATATGATGGGGGGAAAATGATGGATGAAGGATTAGGGATAATAAAATGTGAGGAATAGGGGGGAATGTTGTTAGGGGAGGAATAGGGGTGGAGGAATCATGGAGAGAATTAAGGGAATATGTTGGTTTTGGGGGGGAATATATTTAATTGATAGGGGGAAATTTGGAGAGAATAGGGGGAATTATGTTTTGGGAATAGGGGGAATATGTTGGAGGAATAGGGGGAATATCATGGAAGAATAGGGGGAATAATGTTGGAGGAATATGGGGGAATATGTTGGAGGAATAAATAGGGGGAATATCATGGAAGATTAGGGGGAATATGTTGGAGGGAATAGGGGGAATATCATGGAAGAATAGGGGGAATATATTGGAGGAAATAGGGGGAATATGTTGGAGGAATAGGGGAAATATGATGGAGGAAAATAGGGGAAATATATGGGGAGAAATAGGGGAAATATATGATAGGGGGAATAAGGGGGAATATGTTGGAGGAATAGGGGGAATATGATGGGGGGAATAGGGAGATAATGTTGGAGGAATAGGGGGAATATGTTGGGTGAATAGGGGGAAAATGTTGGGTAAATAAGGGGGGAATATGTTGGAGGAATAGGGGGAATATGTGGGGGGAATAGGGGGAATATGATGGATGGGATTTAGGGGGAATATGATGGGGGAATATGTTGGGGGAATATGATGGAGGAATAGGGGGATTGATGTTGGGGGAAATAGGGGGAAATGATGAGGGAATATGATTGGGGAGAATGAAAGGGATTGGAGGAATATAGGGGAAATTATGATGGAGGAATAGGGGGGAATATGATGGAGGAATAAGGGGGAATATGTTGGAGGAATATATAAAATACTGTAAAATAATAATAATATGTTGGGGGAAATTTGTTGGGGGGATAGGTGGATGGGAATATGATTTTGGGGGAATATATTGGGGTGATAGGGGGAATTTTGTTGGAGGAATAGGGGGGAATATTATGGAGGAATAGGGGGAATATGTTGGGGGAATATGATGGAGGATAAGGGGGAATATGTGTGGGGAATATGTTGGAGGATAGATAGGGGAATATGTTGGGGGAATTAGGGGAATATGTTGGAGGAATAGGGGGAATATGATGGAGGAATAAGGGGGAATATGTTGGGGGAATAGGGGGAATATGTTGGAGGAATAGGGGGGAATATAATGGATGTAAATAATTTGATTTAGGGGGAATAAATGATTGAGGGGGAAAGATGATGGAGGAAGATAGGGGGAAATGGTTGATGGAGAAATTTTAGGGGGAATATGTTTGGGGGAATAGGGGGAATATGATGGGGGGAATAGGGGGAATATGAATTAAAATGAAAAAATATGGGGGAATATGATGGAGGAATATGAATGGAGGAATAGGAGGAATAAGATGGAGGAAATGATGGAAAGGATAATAGGGGGAATTATGTTGAGGGAATAGGGGGGAATATTAATGGAGGAATAGGGGGATTATTTGGGGGAATATGTTGGGGGGAATATGATTGGAGATAAAATAGGGGGAAGAGAATGTTGGAGGATAAAGGATAAATATGTTGGGGGAATAGGGGGAATATGTTTGGGGGAATAGGGGGAATATGATGGATGGAATATAGGGGGAAAATGATTGAGGAATTGAAGGGGGAATATGTTGGTTGGAGGAATAGGGGGGAATATGTTGGTGTGAATATGGGGGAATATCATGGAAGTAAATAGGGGGAATATTGTTGGAGGAATAGGGGGAATATTGATTATGATTAGGGGGAATAGGGGGGAAATATCATGTAAATTAGGGGGAATATGTTGGAGGAATAGGGGGAAATAAATATCATGGAAGAATGTTAGGGGGAATATATTGGAGGAATAGGGGGCAATAGATATGTTGGAGGAATAGGGGAAATATGATGGAGGAATAGGGAAAAAATATATGATGGAGGAATAGGGGGGAATATGAATGGGGGAATAGGGGGAATATGTTGGAGAATGGGTGGTTTGGAATAGGGGGAATTTGATGGGGGAATAGGCAGATAATGTTGGAGAAATTAGGGGGAATTAATGATGGAGGAATGAAGGAATGGAGGAATATGATGGAGGAAATATGATGGAGGAATAGGGGGGAATATGTTGAGGGAATAGGGGGAATATGGGATTATGAGGGGGGAATAGGCAGATAATGTTGGAGAAATAGGGGGAATATGATGGGGAATAGGAGGAATATGATGGATGGAATAGGGGGGAATATGATGGAGGAATAGGGGGGAATATGTTGAGGGAATATGTTTGGAGGAATAGGTGGAATAATGTTGGGGGGGATAGGGAGAATATGTTGGGGGGATAGGTGGACTATGTTGGGGGAATATATTGGGGTGATAGGGATTAGGGGGAATATGTTGGAGGAATAGGGGGAATATGTTGGGGGGATAGGTGGAATATGTTGGGGGGATAGGTGGAATATGTTGGGGGAATATATTGGGGTGATAGGGGGAATATGTTTGTGGGGAAATACGTTTGGAGGGATAGGTTGAATATGTTGGGGGGATAGGGGGAATATGTTGAGGGGATAGTTGGAATATGTTGGGGGGTTAGGGGGAATATGCTGGGGGGGATAGGTGGAATATGTTGGGGGGGTTAGGGGGAATATGCTGGGGGGGATAGGTGGAATATGTTGGGGGGATAGGTGGAATTGTTGGGGGGGGGATAGGTGGAATATGTTGGGGGAATATGTTGGGGGGGATAGGTGGAATATGTTGGGGGATAGGGGGAATATGTTGGGGGGATAGGTGGAATATGTTGGGGGGGATAGGTGGAAATATGTTGGGGAATATGTGGGTGGGGGGGATAGGGGGAATATGTTGGGGGGATAGGTGGAATATGTTGGGGGGATAGGTGGAATATGTTGGGGGAATATGTTGGGGGGATAGGGGGAATATGTTGGGGGAATATGTTGGGGGAATAGAAATTTCTCATGGCAACCACGAAGTAACCAGGGAGCCTAGAAGCAGGATAGGACACGGGGGCCAGGCTCCAAACCATTGAGGACAAGACTTAAATTATTGATCCATCCCCTTAATTACGTTCTGGAGTAATGAGTAGCGTTGTCAATCATTCCAATGTTCTTTACCTCATGGTTCTGATTCTGTCACAGCTGAAATATTTGAACACTGATCCATGTATCTGTTTATGAAGAGAAGACGATGGAATGGCCGCAGCTTTCAGCCCTGACTGCATTAGAATCACTTTGGCCCTCATTATAAGAGAAAGAAAATGGGATTTCTGAACTGCAACTTATATTGTAGCTTACCAATTCCTAGATGTGATGGTTGCATTCATTTTTTAGTCCTTCTTTTTTCTGTTTTCTCTGGTGATCCGGCCAGTAAGTCTGTTTTTTTTTTGGGGGGGGGGGGTTAATCAAGCTGTATTCCAGATGTATCGGTTTACAGGGATGAGACCAACCATTTACCACTGATAAAGGTTCTTACAATGATCAGCTTGTATTTATTCGCCCTTAAGCCAAAAGGAAGAAAAAAAAAACAGTTGCTGTAACTGAATATAAAGTGTGACCTGAAGTTTGGCTTTAATTTGTTAGTTTCTCTAAATCGGATAGTTCATCTAACACAACCTTCCTCCCAGACGGATAGTGCTGCTGTCCAGTGGTGCCCCTGTGCTCCTTCATCCAGGTGTGTTACTGGTCAGATCACCAGGTGAAAACCAAGGGGAAAAAGCGTAAAGAATAAAACGAATGCAGCCGTCACATCTAATGATTGGTAAGATGCAATAAAGAACATTATTGGTTTGGGTTCTAATCAGGGGCGGACTGACAACTCATGGGGCCCCCGGGCAATAGGGGATCATGGGGCCCCTGTGTCCTTGCCCAAACTCAAAAAAGCCTATGAAAAAGGTACCAGGGGCATCTCATGGGGCCCCCTACTGACCCCGGGCCCTTGAGCAGTGCCTGAGTTTCCAAATGGTCAGTCCGCCCCTGGTTCTAATAACTCTTTAACACGGAATCCTTTTCTTGGAATCCATTGAGGGACATGAGTTCCACCCCATACAGGGGCCAGCCTTCCATTTTTCTATTAGCCTAGTGCCCACTCTTCCTGTAGGCAGCGGTATAACCCGACTCTAG